GAAGTAGTGGGAGACTTTCCTGCCCCTCCAAGTTCCCCCCCACCTTCCAGGCTCTGGAGGGGCTCAGAGTTAATTCCGGGGGTGCCGTTTCTGCAGAGCCCCCAGAGGTGACTGTGAGCAGCAAGACGGAGGTGGAGGATGGAATGGAGACGCGCGTCTGCCGCCTGGATGGCTTTTACCCCAGGGAGAACGATGCCTCCTGGATGAGGGACAGGGAGGTCTGGCTGCAGGACACCTTCCGTGGGTCTGTGGCCCCCAACGCAGATGGGACCTTCCACTCCTGGCTCAGCATCCGGATCGATCCCCAAGAGAAGGGCCGCTATCGGTGCCACGTGGAACACGACGGCCTGCAGGAGCCTCTGGACGTGGCCATAAAAGGTGAGAAGCTGCAGGGAGGGAAAGGCTGGGCTCTTTGGCAGGCTGGAGGGTTGTGGGAGAGGAATCTGACCCCAGCTGTATCCAGATGTGATCATACCAGAGATTTAATCCATTGGTTTTTTCATTGTAGAAGGTGGTGGTGGACCTGCAGGAATTGGTTCATAGAATTGGCTTCAGATGATATAAAGAAAGCAACAGATCCCATCAGAAGAGTTGGCCAATCCTGATGAAATGCCCTTAGATCCTACCTTAGCCTTTCTTTTCCCCGTTTCCTACCTGCAGCAGAGAACTTATGCTGAGCACAGATACACTCTTGTTTAACTTTAGATTTGTTACAAAAATCAGGAGGTGTCTGGGAGCCCCTATTTTGAGTACCAAATTTTGTTAAAGATGCAAGGTTTGGGTGGAGGATACCTGGCTGGCTAAAAACATTTTGTAATAGCGGTTGATAGGAGACTGGATAGGAGTCAGAAGCATAAAGTATACATATGCCTGTGCATGTGTATATGTGTGTATATATGTATATCCAATGTTGAAGGTAATTTTCTCCCTGTGTTCTGCCCTGATCCTCAAGGAGAATGTCCAGCCCCATCAATGCAGATTCAGAGTCATTGAAAAAGCTCCAATTGAGGTTGATCTGGGACTGGAAACTGAATCCTCTGGATATGAATAGAAGAAGGATTAGTCCCATGGTGGCGAACCTATGGCACGCATGCCACAGGTGGCACGCAGAGCCCTCTCGGTGGGCACGCACGCCCTCGCCCCAGTCCTCGGCCTTCAGCTGGGTTTTATAAAACCTTTTGGTCAACGCTGCAAATACTGTATATTCTTGCTTTGACAATGTGCAGAACTGTCTGGTATTTTTATAGTTAAATCAGGCAACAGTGAAAGGGGAGGAGAATAAGGAAAGCCAGGGGGAAAAGAAACTGAAAGTAAATCACATCTTCCAAGTTAATTGGAAGATGTGAACCATGACCCCAAAATAGGGGCTGGGAAAAATGCTTGGAATGTATGTGCAACGGAAAAGAATCCAGATCTAAGCATGATGTCATGTGTCTGATTAACGAAACACTTAAAAGAACTTTCAGGCATATTTTTCATAAAAGCATTTATTAAGGTTACAGAGACGTTAGTACGGCATGGTGGAAATGCTTAGATCTGGATTCTTTTCCGTTGCACATACATTCCAAGCATTTTTCCCCTCCCTTATTTAGGGGTCATGGTTTACATCTTTCAATTAACTTGGAAGATGTGATTTACTTCCGGTTTCTTTTCCCCGGGCTTTCCTTATTCTCCTCCCCTTTCACTGTTGCCTGATTTAACTATAAAAATACCAGACAGTTCTGCACATTGTCAAAGCAAAAATATTCAGTATACTTTTGGCTTTAGGCCTCCGCCACCCTGTGCAAAAAAAAAAAAAAAGGTTCAATCAATCAATTTCAACTACTTGAGGGGGAAAAAAGATCTCGCAAAGTTGGAGTTGATTGATTGAACTTTTTAGTCCCACCCAGCTAACGCACTACGCACTCCAGGAGATCGATCCTGACCAGCTCACAGTTTACTCACCCATCCTTCTAAGGTTGGTAAAAATAGGGAGCCAGATTGTTGGGGATAGTGTGCTGACTCTGTAAACCTCTTAGAGAGAATTGTAAAGCACTGTGAAGCGGTATATAAGTCTAAGTGCTATAATGCTATTGCTATCCCTCCCCTTCAGGGAAGAGCCCAAGATCAGTCAGAGTTCAAAGCAGCCAGAGAGGAATTTCCTTGGATCCTCAATTTGCTGCTGGAGGTTTTTCAGGCTGAGTCCCCGGGAAGGACTCAGAATCAGGAGTCCTTGTTGTTGAGCATTTTCCAGATTTAGAGCATTTCCTGAAACTCTTGGGGACACTGCAGGTCTGGAGTGGGAAACAGTGGGAAATTTTCCTGCTTCTCCGAGTTTCTCATCCACCTTCCAGGCTCTGGAGGGGTTCAGAGTTAATTCTGTGGTTTCTGCAGATCCCCCCATGGTGACAGTGAACAGGACGGTGGTAGAGAATGGGATGGAAATCCACGTCTGCTACATGGATGGCTTCTACCCCAAGAAGATCGATGCCTCCTGGAGGAGGGACAGGGAGGTCTGGCAGAATGACACCCTCCGTGGCTCCGTGGCCCCCAATGCAGATGGGACCTTCCACACCTGGCTCAGCATCCGGATCGATCCCAAAGAGAGGGGCCGCTATCGGTGCCACGTGGAGCACGACGGCCTGCAGGAGCCTCTGGATGTGGCCATAAAAGGTGAGAAGCTGCAGGGAGGGAAAGGCTGGGCTCTTTGGCAGACTGAAGGATTATGGGAAAGTAATTTTCTGGCAGAAATCTGACTCCAGCTGGGCCCAGATGTGAGCATAGCTGAGCTTTAATCCATTAGTTTTTCCATAGTAGAAGTTGGTGAGTCTGCAGGGACCAGTCCATACAATTAATTGGCTTCATATGATGTGCAGGAAGCAACAGGTCCCATCACAATACTTGGCCAATCCTGATGCAATGTTCTTAGATCCTCTCTTATAGCTTCTGCTCCTCCCGTTTCTTGCCTCCAGCAGAGAAGCACCGGTTATGTTGAGCATAGATTTATCTTTTTTCATTTTAGATTTGTTATAAAAATCAGGAGGTGGTCTGATAGTCCCTGTTTTGAGTAGCAAATTTTATTAAGATTTGTGAACTGCAGCTGACTTCCTGAAATGGATAAAATGGCTAGACTGATGCATCAATAGTTAGACAAGGGGCTGCTGGTCTCATTTTTCTCCCATCAGAAACTAGCACAGCTTTCTCACTTTACAGTGCGACGTCCTTCACTTGGGAAACAAAAACGAAAGATGCAAGTCTTGGGTGGGTGATACTTGGCTTTTGATAGAAGACCGGATATGCGTCAGAAGCATAAAGTGTATACACACACACTTAATATATACTTATATATATATATATATAAGCACATGCGTGTGTATGTATATATATATCTCAAATGATGAAGGCAATTTTCTCCTTGTGTTCCACCCTGATCCTCAAGGAGAGCGTCCAGTTTTGGACAAGCCCCATTAATATAGATCTAGAATAATTGAAAAAAAGTCCAATTGAGGTTGATCTGGGACAGGAAACTGACTCGTCCTGACAGAACAATTAATCAGTGGAACAACCTGCCTCCAGAAGGGGTGAATGCTCCAACGCTGGAAGTTTTTAAGAAGAGACTGGACAGCCATTTGTCTGAAATGGCATAAGGCAGACATGTCAAACACAAGGCCCGGGGGCTGGATGCGGCCCACAAAGTGGTTTCATGTGGCCCGCGAAGCCATACTGGAAACAGTGAGGGAACGGCCCCCTCTGCCTTGGCCCTGGCCCAGGCCAGCTGGGAGCAATGTACATCTATGCTGAAACGCATTCAGTCTTAGCTCCATAAGCCACTCCCCCTGCACAGCCTGAGAGGAACAGTGAGGCTCCTTCAGTGGACCATGCCTTGGCAGTTGCCCTGGTCCCACCTCCTTCTGCCAGAGACCCTCAGATCTATCCCACTCCTGCTCAGGCCCCCACAGGCACCCTTGACGCGAACGATGTAGAGATGGCCACGCCCACCCAGTAGGCCACACCCACTCCACCCACACCCACCCAGTAGGCTGCACCCACCCTGGCCACACCCACCCAGCCCCCTGAGGGCTACCGCAATGCTGATGCGGCCCTCAATGAAATTGAGTTTAACACCCCTGGTATAGGGTTTCCTGCCTGAGCAGGGGGTTGGACTAGATGACCTCCAAGGTCCATGCCAACTTTATTATTATTATTATTATTATTATTTGTCATGTGTCTGAGTAACGAAACACTTAAAAGGACTTTCAGGCATTTTTCTCCTAAAAGCATTTATTTAAGATTAGTACATCAGCACGGCATGGTGGAATGCTTAGGACTGGTTCCTTTTCCGCTATGCATGTAATTCTAAACATTTCCCTCCCACCCTTTTTTGGGGTCATGGTTCACATCTTCCAATCAACTTGGAAGATGTGATTTACATCCGGTTTCTTTTCCCCTTCTGCCTGGTTTAACTTTAGAAATGCCAGACAGCTCTGCATATTGTCAAAGCAAGAATTTACAGTATTTGCAGCGTTGACATCCGGCCCCCCTTACGAAAAGACAGATCCTGTAAAGCAACCCAAATCATATGTTAAGAGTCATCTTTCGGTTTGTTGGGGTGTTTCACATGAAACCTTTTGACCAATCTATTAGCCTTTACTTCACTGGACTTCACCCAGGTGGCTTCGGACAACGGGTATCCCTTCCATTGTATTAGATACTGCAATTTCTCTCTAAAGATTCTAGAGTCAAGAATACGCTTTACTTCATAGTGGGTCTGCCCCGCAACCACGAGGGGTCCAGGTGCCTTCTTCGGAGGAGGTCTTAATGTGGAGCTCCAATATGGCTTCAACAAGCTACAATGGAAAACTGGGTGAATTTTCCCCAAGAGTTTAGGGAGTTTTAGCTCTACGGTGACTGGGTTGATGATCCTTACTATGGGGAAAGGCCCCAAGAACTTTGGTCCCAATTTCTTGCTGGGCAACTTGAGGCGTAGATATTTAGTTGACAAATAAACTTTTTCCCAACTTGGAATGTTCTTTGGGGAGCCCTCTTTTTATCAGCTTGCTTTTTATAGGTTTCAAAAGTCTTTTTTAAAGCTGCTTTTGTGTTTCTCCAAACTTCTTCCCACCCCTTCACCCACTGGTCAAGTGTCTGGGAAGCGGAGGGCATCTGAGGATATTCAGGTATTGGGTTGAACTCTTTTCCTGTGGCTACTCTG